TGACTAATTTTATTTTATTTTATTTTTTTGAAACCTCATCTATATGTGGAACCACATTTTTCACAAGCAGAGAATTAAATCTTCACATTTTGATCAATATACTATGATTTAAAAAACCTTACGTGATATGTCCATGAAATGAATATTAACTCCATGGTTATCTTACTAATCATGTAATTATATACATCAATTTTATCTTATAATTATCTAATTATTTTTTTTCTTCTTAAAATTATTTCTACATACCCATATATCTAAGGGTAATATTGTTTGTACACATCAAGATGTCCACATGGGGTTACACTCCTTTTACATGGGGGCTCACGCATAATTTATTGTATGTGAGCTCCATTCATGTGAGTGAGGTATAAACCCGTGTGTATGCTTACGTGTAGCATCACTCTGCGCCCTTATTTGTGTTGTTGAAAAAATTTCAAAATATTGTCTAAAAATGTATTTTCTTCAATTGTAGGGCTCGAACAAAGACAATTTAATTTGGTAAATAATAATTGACTAAAGTTAATTGTACACTTTTTTTATGCATCATTGTGCCATCATTCGAGTTTATAATATGTGATTGATAGAAAGTCTGATTTTTTTTTTTAACTGTCAAATCAAAGCATAACATGTGACGAAGTGTTCATAAAGTTGTACATTATGGTATATATGAAGCATTATTGATAATAATTAATTAAAAAGGGATTATTAATTTGACTGAAAGGTCAAAGCAATTCTTTGGGAAAAGCAACCTCTTTAGAGTAGGCTAATTAGCTGCAAAACACGCCTCCCTTTAACCTTTAAACAATCACGCCTCCCTTTAAACAATCCACGAACGAACGAATTTTAGGCCACAAAATAATCTTGTAGTATTGGAGTAGGGCTTGGTTGCAGTCTCGAAAAAAAAGAAGGAAGGCCTCGGAATTGCTGCCTGTCATTTGTCAGCAGAGTCAGGTACCCCTACCCCATCGTCTCCCCTCACTTAACATAAAAATACCACATAGCTGAAACAGTCTGAAATGGTGATTGGTCAACACGAGGAGAGGATAGAAAGGGATTTCTTCAATTTTCAAGGCTAACAAAGGGAACCAAAACAGGACACAGATTGCTTGCGCAAATCTAGCTAAACTGGCTTCAGGACTTTGGGTGAAGTAGTGTTTAAAATAGTAGACAAGTGGGTGGGGGGGCATATGTGTTGATGCATATATATCAATGTACGTGTACAAACCGTACAGAGACCGAACCCATATTTCCGTGCTTATTTACTTGGCCATGTTATGTTGAGACACAGTCACCAGTGTAATCCAATATACATATACAGACACAAAGCAAATGCCTCATGTCCTGAGTCTCTTCTTGTCCTGCCACTGAAGAAATAGGACAAAAATACCTATCAAAGCCTTTGAATAAGAGAGAACATGGTTTCCAATCCCAAAAAAGAAAATTTGCCTTTGTTTTCCAACATTTCATTTCTTCAAGATGAACCAAGAAACCCCTTTAAATTATCTTGAAAATGGAAGTTGAAAAAACCCGTGTATTTTGTGTTCGCAGGGTAAGAGGGTTTTGCTGGTGGCGACAAGGGAAGTTTTGGCATATAATGAAGCCTGATGCTACAATTTCTTGTGCAGCTTTCAAGAAAATGGTGGTGGAGAAATTGCCTGTTTTTTCTGGCTCTTTTTTGAGTTGTGCTGGTTCCCAAAATCCATATTTGCAAATGGGGTTTGGTTTCTTTCTCCTCTTCTGTTACCTAGGTGGCTCGTGACGGTGGCGGCGGCGGTGGCGATGGTGTGATATTGGCGGGACGGCTCAATCTTTTATTTGTGACATAAATTTTTGTTCTCCACTTCACTTGGTTAATCACCATGTTTATAAACAATGGATTTGCAAAGAGTTCATATTACAACTCGTCAAGGTTGGCTTCTTTAATTTCCAATTTCTTATATTCCAGTTAGCATTGAACTAATTATAATATATCAATCTCTCCCTTTACTTGTTTCTTAAGGATAAATTGAAACGAACCCATTCAGTTTCAGTATTTATGATAATTAGATCAGAAAAGTGAAATTATATATGAATATTCTTCATATTTTGGCCGTTGAAAAATATCAACATTGCACAATAAATATGTGAGTACGTTTGTTCTTGTTCAATGGTGAAAATTCTTAATTATATTGTAACATAATTAAATATATTTACTTTGTCGGAATTTTGTCTATTTCTTTACTACATAAAATACAAAGCGTGCCATAAGTATATAGTTAACCAAAATAATTTTTTAAGCAAATTTCAATGAAGGAGCCACCCATTATATGATCGGAAAGTTGGAAACACTCTTTTTCCTCTTCATTTTTTTTTTTTTTTTTTTTTTTTTTTTTTTTTTGTGTAGATCTCACATTCCTTCATTATTTTATCCTGAAACTAGAACACAGCCTTCCGATTTCCTCTTTAATTTCGTTTTATCCTTACTAATCTCTATGCATGTCCGTGACAAGATGCAAGGATGTTAGGTAATGATTATGAAAATTGCTTTTTTCATCGTTAGATAGAAAAATTGGGATGGTGAAAAATTACTATCAAACGAGGACTAAGTCTATATTTGGCTCTATTTTTAAAAATTCAATTTTTTTTTTCGAATTTAATCTTGACCAAACATTCTGCATAAAAATAATTTTGCACGTGCGCTCATAATTTTACATTCTTTAGCCACCCTATATTCTTAAAAGAGGCATTTTTAACAAAACTTATTTTTAAAAATTTCTATAAAAATGAGGCTAACCATCATTTGGCCTCGTTAAATTAAATTTTATCTTTTTCTCTCGTATTTTATACATATAATTTTCTATAAAAATAAAATCACACATAAATCGAAAATATTTTCTTCTTTTTCAATCTTTCATTCTTTAAATATATATATATATATATATATTTCACCCATTATAATTAAAAAGTTTCTGCTAATTTATATTTTGCATATTTGGGTAGAAAATGACAGAAAAGAAAGATCAGAAAAGATAAGGTTAGGATAACCTAGTTGTTGCTTTCAATGAAGCATCCTATCAATTAGAAGGCATGGAACTCTTCTTCTATTTTTTGCACTATAAATAAGTAGGCAGGTTGCAATCTTAAATAATGCCCCGACTATTTACGGAAAGTACGAAATCATGCTTTATTATCGTTTCATACAGGAAAACTTACAGAATTTATACAAGATTTTGCAATGAAAAAATTCTGTCCGTTTGTGTTTTATGTTTTTTCCCATCTTTGAATGATATTTCGACACGTGTTTGAAAAAAATTTCCTGTGCAAAAATCCTGTACTTGTAACATTGCTCTTGGGAGTGATTTATTGGTTGTTTTCACAGGTCAAGTTTTTGGAGTGACTCGTCAATTATGAGATTATAATTTTTCCTTTATGTCTAATGTTTTGTTAATTTATAATATTTATAAATGATCAAATCATTTTTTATTCACAAATCAATAAGTACTATTCACTTTATTTATCGTTCATTTTTCTCTATTTATAAGTTAAAAAGTTTATAATTACTTTCCAAAGAAACTTTAAGATGTTAATTTTATTATTACTTTCGAAATAAACTTTTGATGTTTTGAAATGCTTAAAAAGTTCAATAACGTAGGGACAAATAAATATATACATTCATCATCATCACATATTGATATTAGGACAAGGCTACACGTATCGAATTTTTTTATCGAATTTTATACTCACTACTCATAACAGGGGTGGGAACCACGGGATGGCATTTTTAAATTCACGTAAAACCACCATACATTGTAAGAGGGGCACACCATTCGATACCCCAATTATATACAAATATATATATTTTTTGCCGCCCCGAGGCATAATCTAGTGGTGCAAAGGACGGGAGTGAGGTTATCTCACGCCTTGTTGGTAGCCGCAATGTGGGGGTTCGATTTCTAAGGCATGAAATTAGACTCCTTGTAGACACAGTGTACAGGCAGCTCTTGTTCCCTGTCCTGTTGAAACACATCCTGCGATTTACCTCCCTCACAAAGTTGTAGGGGCGGAACGGTGAAAACTCTCAAAATTGGGGTTCAACCCTTTTTTTTTAAATATCTTTTTCTTTGATATTATAGTAGCAATGCACGGTGGAAACTGTGAACTGTATTACTGTACCTAAGGAACTGTCATTGGCAGACTGAAATACATTACATACATACATAAAACTTGCAAGATCCTGGATGACCAAAACTGTGAGCCATTAATGAGTGATCCAATTTCTGAATTCTGATCCATCATCGGTCCTTTTCAGAAAACCTCTCTCTATTTTTTATTTTTATTTTTATTTTTATTTTTATTTTTTTTTTTAAAACTCAAACGTTTGGTGGTAATTAAAATTAAATTTTTCAATTGATTATGATAGAGATTTTTGAAATGATTGTTTGAAAAATAGTGGGATTCATAAAAGATGTTGTGAATATTAATTGTCTGACTTTAACTTTGACTTTGACCTCGTCTGTCATAGAAAAAATCAATAAAAAGTCGAAAAAAGTCAGTTTGATATGTTTATTAGATTTTAAATTGCATTTTATACTGTATAATTCTTTGCAGATTAAAATTTAATAACATAGTTAACAATGAATTTAACATAACAAAGTCAAGAAAAACAATAATTAATTGAAACATTAGGCATGAAAAATGAAATATCATAGTAATACTTTGAATAACTTTCAAAATCCTATTAAATAACTGTAAAATTACATTAACAAAATGCAATGACTTGGTATAATAAAAAATGATCATTTTTAGTTAAATTATTAAAAAAAATTAAAAATCCTTAGTTCAAACTGCCCTTCAATTATATAAGAGACACAAAATGAGGATAGTCGTGTAGAAGTGGATGATTCAAAACTTAAGAAGAACTTATTCTCTTATTGTGTGTTTGGTGGGGTGCATCTTAAAAAAAATAAAAATAAAAATAAGAAGCTAAAATCGTGTTAATTCTACCGTAGAGTCTGATAGTGTTTACCAAACATGCATTCAACGTATTATATTCATGAAAGAAAAGGAGGGAAACTTGAAGGAAAGACAAAAGGAAGAAAGAAGGGGGGAAAATACGGTTTTCTTATTTAGCATAAGAAAAAAAGTAGAGATTCCTCATGTCTCCAACCAACACAGGACTTGCAGCAATTCCTTCCTTCTCCAGACCATAAAGCACGCATGAACAATGATATGTATATATACTATCTGATTCTATTGTACAACAACAGATCATTTGTTTCACAGCTTTTGCTCTCAGTTTGAAGCAGGACAATACATGTAAGGATTGTTTGTCCAGCAAGAAGAATGAATGAAATCAGCAGAGAATATTTGTCCCCCCAAAGTCCCTGTTGAGTAAAGATTTTCTAAATCAGAACAGGAAGAGAAAAATAGGTCAAAGAAATCTGAAAAGATTATTTCCAGACAATGTGAGATTATTTTATCCATAAGTTGTCAAGATATGTACAAAGTGAAAACCACAAGTTTTACCCTACATAGCGTGAGAAATGTACGGTTGATTACCTTCAAACTAATATGCATGAAATGGGAACGAGAAAAACAAAATACGTTAACAAGAAACAGAAGCACAGCAATATTTTCTACAACAAAAGATTCCGGTCTCACCAAACAAGACAGCTCTGCTCTCAAGAGGGTTGTCGTCTGTGTTAAGGTTTCGAAAGACAATGAACAGAAAATTACTCATTGACCGATAAAAACTTAAATTACTGGCAAGCATTCTTGCTAAGTTCTATAAACGGAAGGGTTTGCTAGCATTACAAGAAACCTTGTTTATGTTTACGCCGATATGTTATCCACAGCCAAATCGACTGTAATAAATATTAACAAAGCTCAAGGGCATTGCAAACTATCAAGATGTTACTATATAATACTGGAGAATTTAACTAGACTAGTGCTTGAAATGAATTGTACGAAAGGCATAATGTGCACCTCTTCTCATGTTGTGAACGCTCACATGCTGATTTCAGAATGACATTAGCAAAATTTCGCCAGAAATTCAGATGCCACATAACCTAAGTTGAAGAAACTTGGCAGTAGTAAATGAAGTTTGAGGGAGAATTTACAAAACATAACACACAAAATTCATCGATCCTAGCTTAGATTATTATCTTAGGCAGATGTCCACAAACAATCCACTATCTTTTTTCTAGCCATTATATAAGAAAAATGATACCAATAATGATCTGACTTTATTTATATTTTGTTTTTAACTTCTCTTCACTTAATATTTATTCTGTTTTTTACAACTTCACAGCATATCTTCACCTCCATCTGAAATTATCGTGACAGCAATGAAGAATGAGATTGTTAAACTCAACAACTTCACACGGCTAGATTTAACTTCTTTTAACAACTTTGCAGCAAAGTCGTCACAGTTATCGGTATTTTTGTAATTAACAATAAAGAAAATCAATGCCACGGTTGCACTAAAAGATGAAGCGATATCAAGAGAAAGTAAATAGAAAACAACCCCTGGGAAAGCCTCACGACCTGGTGGTCGGTGTAACAATAATGATGCATAATCTCCACAATATGGATACATATCAAACGCCAAAACCTACAACACAAAATCCCAGAGCTCTAAATCTCTCAGCAGACAAATAAAAATAAAAAACTACCTACAGAACTTGCGTTCTAAAATTTTCCCAAAAACCTCAAATGATGATTGGTACCATCATAATTCAATAATCAGGACAACACACCTCAGCTAGCCAGGATACTCAAGCAGCTGCTCGAGTCCACTACATTTGTAGATCTATCTCAATTGGCTATTTGAAAAGTTATATATATACCCAGCCCCAAAATAACAGCACAAGGCCAATGCTGGAAATATAGAAAGCGCATACAAGCTTACGTCCATGCCAAAGCATACCTCGCCTCATGGCCATGATTCTAAATGAGACTAAAAGTTAGTATTTCAAAATCAAGCTATAACCATCGGACGGGGAGTATGTGCTCCAAGTACCATGGGGGTAAACATTGAAAAGCTTCATTAATTTCAAGTTGAAAAGGTACATTCAAGAATGCTAAAGAAGTTGTAACTCTAACCTATAAATATTTATGATAACAGCTTCACATAATATTCTGTTGCTACATACTCTCCTATCTTTTTTTTGTAACCAAACTCCACATGTGCCTAACTAGGGGTTTGGCCTGAACCCTTACCTGTACATATGATAAAACACATATAAGGCAGGGAGGGGGACATCTGTCATCAACGTTACAGCAACAGCCTTTGACACGATCATTCAAGGAAGATAAATGTCAAGGTATATCTTAATGTTGAAACCCCATGATTTTTAATGTTCTCATCACAATTATAGCCAGTTTTCTATGCAAGGCTGAACCCTGAAATCCCAAGATGATCAAAATTGTGCCTTGGGGATTAATTTGAATGCCTTCAGCCAAATAATAAATATGAAATTTGGTGAAGCAACACTATGAACCATCAGCAATTAGCACCGCTAACAGAGAAATAAGATAGGTTATAATTCTAGATTACAGAGAAACAAAATGCTAGCATCGAAAGGAAATCAATGTACAAATTAAGCTTGGCTATAGAAAAATACATTAACTGATAGTTAATAAATATCTCCATAGTCTGCGCCACAAATAACTCATAATAACTCGCGTGCTTGATGACGGCACAAACTAAATGGCATAAGATAAATCACACAGAAGTGAAATTTGAGATTATCTCAACATCTTTTGGAGCTCTTCTTGAACAAATATATTTCTATGGAAAAAATAGAACGTCTTATATTCGTCTTTGTCAAGAATTTTCACACCAGTCTATGCTTGTTCAAGGATCATTTCATGCATCATGTTAGGGATCATACGGCTCCTTTTGATGAATAGATGGAACCATGTCTCATTATGATTCATTTACAACATAGTATTTCATCAAATTAGTAATCTGAAAACAGTGATTCTATAATCAATGTAATGAACAAAGACAACACAGAGTTTAACCAAAGGGCTAATGATCATCAACAACTCGCATCCAATATACAGCAAATCTATAAGCAATGTAGTGAACAAAGACAATACTTTAGGAGGAACAGTATATTGCAACAATAACCTTCACCATTGCTGGTTGACAACATTTTCCAAGTACCATTTATAGGTATCCCTAAGTCCATCCCTGAGAGAGATCCTGGCCTCCCACCCTATCTCGGCAAGCTTTGAGTTATCCATGAGCTTCCTTGGTGTGCCATCCGGCTTACTTGAATCCCAGACAATCTCCCCTTTATATTCCACCACATCCTTCACCAATTCTGCGAGCTCTCTTATGCTCACCTCCTTCCCACTCCCCACATTCACATGCTCCATTCCGCTATAGTTCTCCATCAAAAACACCACAGCATCTGCCAAATCATCCACGTGCAGAAACTCGCGCAATGGCTTCCCACTCCCCCACACCACTACTTCCGCTACATTATTTACTTTGGCTTCGTGAAACCTGCGCAGTAAAGCGGGCAAAACGTGGGAGTTCTCGGGGTGAAAGTTGTCGTTGGGGCCGTACAAATTCGTCGGCATTGCTGAAATTGCATCAAATGAATGTTGAAGACGAAATGCCTGACACATTTTTATCCCAGAAATCTTAGCGATTGCGTACCATTCGTTTGTCGGCTCTAACGGGCCGGTCAAAAGTGCGTTCTCGGGGATGGGTTGGGGGGCGAATTTGGGGTAAATGCAGGACGAGCCGAGGAAGAGGAGTTTTGTAGTATTGTGTTTAAATGCAGACGTAATTACATTGGTCTGGATCTGGAGATTGATGGTGATGAAGTCGGCGGGATAGGTGTTATTGGCGTGGATGCCGCCGACCTTGGCGGCTGCGAGGATGACGTACGAAGGCTTGTGGGAGGCGAAGAAGTTGTCAACGGCGGATTGGATGGTGAGGTCGAGCTCCGAGTGGGTACGGAGGAGGAGATTGGTGTAGCCCAGAGACTGGAGCCTGCGGACCACAGCGGAGCCCACCAGGCCGCGGTGGCCGGCGACGAAAATTGGAGCGGACTTGTCTATTGGAGTTGGATCCATATTAGAAACGGATCCGATAACTGTCAACGGGGATGCAGAAAAATATAAAACCTTGGAATGATAAGAAAAACAGACTTAACGGGGCAGGCTGATAAAGTTGTCGGAAAAGTTTTTGTTGGACTGTTTGGGCCTGTTCACTAAATATTTGGGCTTTCTCTCGACAGGCCTTGGTCCGATATGGCTGGGCTTTCTTCTTCATGGGGTAACTACACCATACACCCTAATAATTACAAATTTCCACAAATACTCCATATTCTTTTTAGTGAAAATATTATAATATTATTATTTTTAATATTAAAAGAGAAGAAAGATATGGATACCATTTTGGGTATCAAAGTCACAAAGCCTTGTAGGGGTCACCATTTGAGTCGATCACATTATATCGAGAATGTGATAAATAAATTCAAACATTTGAACTTAAAGGAATAT